GTTCCAAATTTGGTGCGCTTCATCGCTGGTTATGCGATCAATATGTTCCCTCTAGCTAAGAAATATTTTTTAACTGAATTTCTTATTGCTCATGAAGAGGCGAAATTTTTTAGTTTCCATTCCAGGGTAGTCTGACTAACAAGGTGACCAACCGCCTCCACATTTCAGCCCTTCTATGCCTGAAAGTATGCCTCAAGCAGGGAGTTCTCTTACGAGAGTTACGAAGTTCGCTGTTTTTTTAGCAAAAATAAGTATGAAACGATACCACTGTATCATAAGTACTACAAAGTAATGACGATGTGGAGCTGGGACGCATGCCGCACGCGCCTTTTGCATTTACCTACACATTCGCATGTAAATGGCATAACTTATGACAACATTCATTAGGTGTGTGATGGGGAAGATTGCCTTACAATGATGGAAAAATTAATGAAAATACGTATTTCAAGCAGCTACGCACACAAGCATACTACACAAATATACATAAATGCGTACATACATACACAAACACAACAGCCACTCATACAACTAAGCATATAAACGAAAGTAAACGGAAACCATTGGGAGGTGGGTGTCGGTGAAATTAAATAGTAAAGTGAAATGCGTATGGAGTGCAGCGAGAAGGGTGAAGGGGAGAGACAAAGCTGAAGCCACTAATGATATTAGCTTACCAACACTCAGGGTTGACTTGAGAAGCACTGGCAGTATCAACGACAAGCTCACCAGCCAAGTTGATATATGTATAATATGTACGAATGCATCAGCATCATGCGAGCATACAAGAGGCTCGCAGCAGCCAATGACTGACATGTAAGCCTCCAAGGCTGCATGTGTGAAATAATAAAAGAAGAACCCACACACACACACTCATACACACATAAACACAGAAACTCACTGACTTTTGTATATGGTTTGTCCTTTTCATGTCAACACCTGACATGACTGACGCGTGTTGGCAGGGTAACGGCCCAGCGCAAGCCCCCATATGTGGCGTGAATAGATGGCAGTGCGCGTTGGTAAGCTAAAAGCATTGTTGCGTGCAAATGGGTTGTTGTCTGTGGAATTGAATTGCAGTTAAGCGAGAATTTTTACGCTTTATTTTGATTTATTTATTTCGACTATCTTTTTTCTTCTTTCAAGCAAGGGTGGTAGCGATAGTTCAAGTTGCAACTGTGCAGTCTACGAAATCGATTGAAAATTGTGCTTTAAAGTTGTTTGCGAGTTTTCTTAGAAAATGAAATGAGTTGAATTTGTGTGAATTTTAAAGAACTGACTTTGCCTTTGCCTTATCGTAAAGCTGTGAGATGTTCAGATGCTCAGGTAAAACTAGTTTAATTTCTTTTACTCTTCCTTAATTTACTCGACTAGTTTAACACTTCTGCTCTCTGAGAGCACTGCTCAACAACTGGGTAGAGGGGAACGGCCGGACGGCATTTCAAGCTTCTTACGTGTATGTACGGCAGTGAAAAACAGTACGAAAGTAGAGCTGATGTGATGAAGATTGCAGAATTGCAATGAATAGAAAATAGTCTACTAGGCTCGGTTGCGAGTGACCAGTACACAAGCGTGGTGGGATATATACCCAGAGTTCAAGAGGGAAGCGATATACAGAGGCCGAGTTGCGTGAATATGACGAGCTTGAGGAAATGGTCGACAGAGGTAATGCTACAAAATTCTATGAAGTTCACGGAAAGTTTCAAGACCGGAGCATACTCATGGAGGAACCAAGAAGGTAATCTGGTGACCGATGTCCAGAGCATATTTGATGTATGAAGGCAGCACACCTCCAGCCTGCTGAATGACACTGAAAGGGTAAAGGTGAGGCAGATATGTTGATTGATTATATCCTTCATAGAGAATAAAAAGCGCTTTAAATTGATGTATTACTGGAAGAGTTGTTCAAGCATGGCGCTGAAGAGCATACAATGTGCATGCATCAGTTTTTTGTTTACAGACTTTGACTGGACACATTATCTTTTCATTGATTTTAAAGCTGCCTTCGGCAGCACAGCGAGAAGCTTCCACAATGCCGCTATGTCTGAAGTCAGTATTCCGGCAAAACGTATACCGATGTGTAAAGTGACGTTAAGCAACATCAAAAGCTCCATCGGAATCGGAGAGGACCTCACCAACCTCGAGCGCCTTCTTTACGAGCTGAGCTGAGCTGAATGGGGAAGGTACAATATTCAATAAAAGTGGACAACTGCAGACGTATTGATATCATTGGCTTTGAAAATCGCGTTGTAAGTTCTACATTCTCCAGCATGGTTAAGAAAGCCAAGCAAACCAGTCTGGTAGTGAACGAAGATAAGAGAAAATATCTTCTGTCATCAATAAAACGTTCCCATGTTACAAATGACAATCATAACTTTGAAGTTCTAGACAATTGTAGATCAACGTAGAATCATGCTTGCCAAATCCTGTCTCGACGAACAAAGTACTGAGCAAGATCTTGTGAAAAATTTGTGGACTGGCGATGGCGAATACCGCAGTTAACAGAACGCGGTAGGCGGCGTTATTAGAATAATTCAACGCATTAAGAGTTTTCCAGTTCTAAAAGCATTTATTGAATGTACTACCTGCTGTTGGCAGCAGAGGATGAGGACGACTGATAATTCGTTGGAAGGATTTGGGGGGAGAGAGACCTAAACTATTTTCAGACCATTTTGAGATTACACCGAATTAGGTGTATTCAGCTTCATTGCATGAGGAACTCGTCGTTTATTTCGGTTTGATCTGTTCGTCTATGTGACATTTAAAGTGCAATAAAGTGGTATTGCTTATGAGGGAAATCGAAATAAATAATGCTTTTATATCACATATTACGGTAATTTTAAGTATAGGAAGATATAGATCTGGAAATTGGAGTCACAAGATTATGAATACACAATAGCTTTGACCATTTGCTTTGGCTAAGCAAAGAATATTTAGAGCAAGAGCTATTCCTTTAAAGAGTGAATGATTAAAGCCTACTTTCAGGCGCATTGTTTGGCTGAAGCCAAATAAAGTGTGTGTTGCATCTATCGAGAATCACAGAGAGCACGCGAAAGCTGAGGAGAAAGTGATTTTCAAGATTTCTTTTTCAATTTCTAAATATTATAAGGCCAAACAAATTGACTATTCTTTAATATATTTAAATAAAGATTTTATGAAAAAAAAATTAGTTGGCCACACCAAAACAAGCTTTTCGTGGCTTTCATGTAAAAATTAAAAAAAAAAATTTGTATGATATTTCTTCGGTTTTAGCAGTGCTTTTAATGTTTACATAAAACTAAAGGGTGTTTTCTCTAGATGTGTGATTTTCAATGAGATAGTTGGTCACTTTGATTGCTGTTACTTGAGGCAAAGGAAACAAAAATATTGCCAGAGAAAAGGTCTGATTGACTCAGTAATGATAAGTTGATAAGAAACATACGCTTTCTCTGATCTTGCCAGCAATTGGCCCGTGCTCACATATGTATAAGGGAAGCTTTGTTAAACAGCTGAAATATTTTCAGAATGTATATTTAATTCGTGATTTTCGATCGAGCTCCTCCTACAGTTTGTGATGTGCACTCTGATATTTTTCCAAAAAAGTAGAAAAACCTAGCAGGGTTAGAAAACCTTCTCCAAACGGCCGTTGGATTTTTACGACGAGCTTTTTATGCCATGACAGAAATACACTTCGCATGGCTTCGAATTCCCTGCCGAAAATTAATTTTTGTTCATTAGTTTATCCAAGACACGAACCCTGAGCGTTTGAATGATTGTACACAATATTAACTAGTCGGCTTTTGCAGTCGGAATATTTGACAAACCGCCTACATTGCTGAAACAAGTGGGCGGCTGCATTTTATTTGAGCCAGCCGTGCTGATACTTTTTTGAAACTTCCAATGCAAATCCTTATCTTTACAAAAAATTCTTCTAAAACTTCTTGGTCATAACATTTAACTACCTGCGTCTTATTTCTTCTTGAAAACCACATTTCTAAAAAAAAACACCCTCTATATGAGAGGTTACCGTATTCATTAAACCATTTTACAATTAATTTAGTTCCAAAAAAAAACTTTTTCTTTACAGAGTTTAAATAAAATTTTTAGAATTTCTTTGTTAAAAGCCAAGCTAATCAAGTTAAAAACTGGCAACACGAGAGTTTCATATGCAAAATTAATTAATTGAAAAACCCACATACGTATATATTTATGTATGTATGTATATGCCGAGGTGAAAATAACAGTACTACAATATAATACTAACGGTACATTTGCTTAAATATATATGAATGCAATTGCTTCTGAGTTCATTCTAACGCAGTGAAAAGCGAAGTTCGAAATTACAAAATTACTTTATTTGTGCAAATAAGAGTTTTTCGTTTTTAATTTTTTTTTGAGCAGAAAAAGTGATTTCAATATGTCGATTGTGTGTTTTTTTTTTAATAAAAGCAGTGGTAAAACAAACAAGCAAATGAAATTTTTAGACAAAAAAAAAGTACTTATTTGGAAAATTTGCATAATAAATTTAAAAATATAATAAAAATTATCATAAAATTATGAACTAATTTCAATATTGAAAAAAAAAAATCCAAATTAGTAATTTATCGCATGCAAAAATTTTTACATAGCTTTATTTACAATTTTCGTCACTAAATACAATACTATTACTTAACTACTACAGAGTACATACATACTACTTTCTTACTTGCTACACTATTTTTACTACTCGAAGTGTTTTCTTTTTGTATGGCGTGTTTGGTGATTTCGCAATTCTATTATGCGCATATTTTCGCTTTTTGTGTTTTTTTTCTTTCATTTTTTTCTAAATTTTACTATTCAAAATATTTGTGAATTCACTTATTTTTATTTATTTATTATCTTTATTTGGTTTCATTTATGATTGACAAGCATACAATGTTGACGGTACGTACAGACATACATACAATCGAATAATGCAAATGTTTACTATTGTACATTCTCGTATGTTGTAGATGTTGTTTATATGTATGTATTTGAATCGCACTTACCCGTATGATTTTCTGATCATGGATTATCTTGCGTATACAATTTACTAGGAATGTGATAATCATGCCACCCAATATTAGACCGAAGACAATCATGATAATTACAATATGCTCAGAATCCTCAGAGGGTTTATTCTGCAAATAATTGGAAAAAAGAAATTGATGAAAAAGCAGTTTTAAAAATGAATTTAAATATTTTAAAACAGAATTTAAATTGAGAGAATTTACAATTTTTTTCTTGAATTGAAGAACTTATATTTTATTGATACTGATACTTTAATCACTAAGGGTTTCTACTCTTTACTTGGAGAGAGACCGACACTTGAAAAACTCTCTACCAATGAATAAGAGATTTTAAAGAAAATACGACTGTTTATCTAGACAAAAATTACGGTGGGAAACTAGACAAAGAAGCCGCAAAGAGAAAGAGAGGGAGATAGAGAGAGAGAGATAGAGAGAGAGAGAGAGAGAGAGAGAGAGATAGAGAGAGAGAGAGAGAGAGAGAGAGAGATAGAGAGAGATAGAGAGAGAGATAGAGGGAGAGAGGTAAAGAGAGAGAGAGAGGTAGAGAGGGATAGAGAGGGAGAGAGAGACAGAGAGAGAGAGAGAGAGACAGAAAATCTGATCGATAATGGTAATGCACGAAAATTCTACGAAAAGATGTGGTTCTTGTTTTATCGGTTCGCTAACCCCGCTTAAGTACAGGTTTTATTAACAAATCGCCGAAGTTATCTAATGGGAGGTCTAGAAAACGAGCTGTTTCGGCGGGGTTGAACCAAATGGAGAGGGGGGGGGGGCTTAAGTACAAGTTTTATTAATCTAAATCGCCGAGGTTATCTAATGGGAGGTCCAGGAAACGAGCTGTTTCGGCGTGGTTGAACCAAATGGAGAGGGGGAGGGAGGAAGATGTGGTGGCTACCTTCTCTTAGTAGGTATTAGACCATACTCTTGTAGGATCCAAAGAGGTTATTTAGCGTCTGATTCCCAGAGTATATCAAATTGGTGGATCCCTTCTGCAGCGTGATTAATTACAGTGATAAAGAAAACCTAGCAAACGGCGGCCATGAACACCCCGACGACGATGGAATAGATGGTCCAAGCCTTCAGTATCACAAAAGTTCGCACACCGATTGCCCGCTGAAAGAATAACAAAGCAGCGAGAGCCGATAGTACTGGCGGAAGACATTAAATATGATGCCGAAAGGCTGAGAAAATATACAAATTAGCTTGTTTGTAAGATTTCTCCAAAATGTATTTAGTACGCGAGACAAATGGTAAATTTGGCAGTGAGCAAGGACTAGACGAAGTATCTCCTGGCATTCAAACAAACAGTCAGCATTTGCATATGCGTCTAGGCTCTCGCGTCACTGTTGAATTTGTAGACAATTTCGGATATCTAGGGACGAGGAATAACAACAATAATAAACTAAGATCCAAAGTGGAATCCCTTTGGACTGAGTAGGCAATTGAAGAGTAATGTCATTTTGAATCGGCCCTAACAGTTTTCAGGAGAAAAGTTTTAAGGCAAATTTATGCAGCGGCCATTCTGGCAAGATCATATTATCCAAATGAATGAAAACTCTCCAGTATTCACTGGTGGATGCAGAGGATGAGGAAAATCTCCATAACGTTGGAAAGAGCAGCTTGGTGTCTTGAAATGACTCTGAAAGCAGAAAGAAAAAGGAATGGTGAGGAAGTAGAAGAACAAGTGATGCTCCGGGGACTTCAAAAGGATTCTTGTAACAGTCGTGAAGGCGGTGTTCTGGTAGGCTCGTAGCTTCCTCATCTGTGTATGTTCTTAATGTGGGGCCGGCTAACACTTTGAGGATTTTGTTGCGGTTCCTGTTATTTTGTAGTGGAGTGAAGGAGTGCTGGCTGTAGAATGTGCCGTCCACGGCCCATCGAGTCTGAGCCGGTATTCCTTCGTTTATTTTCTGAAAAGAGAGTTCGAGTATTTCGCAGATTGTAGCAGTAATTGGCATGCGGTGAAGAAAGGAGAAGTCAGCAATATCCAGTCCAAACGTCAATATCGAGCAACCATAGGCACATGAGATCAGTGAAATGCCCTCTGGTGGAGGAGCGTGCTTCGGTATATAGAAGATAAGGAAAAGTAGAGAGAAAGTACCACCCTGCTGAGTCCCTTGCTTAACTTTACGGAGTTTGTTTATTTGACTTTGAAGCTCTACCGTTAATTGTCGCCTTCAACGTCCGATAGAAGCCATTGTGTGATTGAAAGTGTCAACAACGCACGGTCGGTTCCGGTAGAGGAATTGAAAAACACATTTAAACAAATTGTTGAGATAGTCTGCTCCTGCCGGTCCCAGGTGGTTTAGCATCAGTTTGCTTATATAGTCGGAGCCAATAAGATCGAAGGCTTTCGCCTTACTGATGACCCTCTGAACATCTTCCCTGGAGTAATCAAGCGCGGCTCTGGTGTTTGGCAGCTTGCAACGAGGAGCGATCGCCAAATGAAATTTCCACCCAGTCAATGCGTACCTTTGAGTTTGACAACGATTTGACTGTGGCCCAGGCCAAGGTTTCTCCAGAGAAGAGGTTGCAGAGCCTTAAGTGTTTCTACCACTTGTTCCGTTTTCAGATTTATTAATTTTAGTGCCTAAATTAATTAGGAATTGATTAGGACTATTATGACTTTCGGATGAGTTATGCATTACTTTGTAACTAGTTTGGAACTAGTCGTGTTATATATTTGTTCCAGGTTGAAAGTAATTCATTATACAGCAGAACATTATTTTGAAATGAGTTTGAGTGAATCTAATGTATTTCCTTCTCCACAGCCAGATGTAGGAATGCTTTTTATTTACGTAATTTTAGCTGCTTAAAAATGTATGAGGAAAGTTTTTTCCAACGCCATTCATTGTTTGTAACTTGAAGTCAGCTTTTTTCAAACCTTTTACCTTCAGCATGTGTGATAAAAAATTGAAGTTTGTGACTTTCGAGCGCCGACTAGAGAAATTCTTTCTCTTTTACTCAATATGCTGACACTTTTCTTTGTCGTTTTTCACCTTTTGCTTTTTTCTTGCTTTTTTTTATGAAACATATAAATCACCAAAGAGCTTGCGCTCAATTGGACATATTTATATATACGTATGTATGTAGAAAGCGTGTTTTATAACTCTGACAAGTTGATAGCTTCATTGTTCGATTACAATTTTCAGTCACTTGACAGTCCATTCGATTCCATTACCAGCTAAACTTGACCAATTCCCGACGTGCGATTGCTGTCATCATTGGAATGGAAGCACGTAGCACTCTTTAATGTATGTTTGTAGTTGTGTTGCATGTCATGTATGCATGTGTATGTATATAAAAGCGTTTGCACTTAGCCATACAAACAAAAAGTGTCATTTATTCTACTACTTTTTCATGCAGCTACTTTGATATGTACGAAAGTGTCTAGAAGCAATTGACAAGCACGTTAGTGTAATAGTAGTAGTGAGGACTTACATTACAGCCATCTTCGTCCCAGCGAAATTTACAGTTATCACGTTGGTTACACTGCAGCAGCCCCGAAATGCATGTGGCATCCTCGCAATCGTACTCGCCTTCAGCACAACCGCCTGAAATAAAAAAAAAGTCGCAAATGCAAGTGATTAACGATAGATAAAATAATATGGAAAACAGAAAAAAGAGATAAAATTAAAAAAAAGTAAGAAAAAGAAAAAATATATATTTTTTTAAATAAATCAATAAATAAATAAATTAATTAATTTGTTTTTTTCGTTTAAAACATTTTTCTACGCGATAAAATACAAAATCACTTACTTGGTCCACGATCGTGAAAAGCTGTGTATAAAATGGAAAATGTTGAATTGATGGCCGCTTGTTCGGCGAAAAAACGTATATTCAATACATTCGAATCGGATGTGATGGCCTCGCCAGCAGAGCCGCAAAAGTTTTTTATTCTGCAGAAATATAAAAGAAGAAAGACAAAACAGAAAAAAACAATGAAAAAGCAAGACAATGAGAAAGTTGCGAGCAAAAAAGTTTAATAAAATAAACTTAAAGCTTATAGGAAAAGCTGCTGGCGGCACAGAAGCCGAGTGAATACTATATTGTACTGGCATTCGGAACGCCAGGGCCTTAGTCCTAATTCGACCAAATTAATTATCATAATTAAGGCCGCCCCTCGGCAAGTGATGTCAAGTCCTTTGCGCATATTTGTGACATTCAATAAAAAGTTCTTCATTTTTTTGGGAAAACATCAAGACGCTTCTCACAAATTAGAGGAAGGCTCGGCCGAAACTCGCATCTGCGGTTACAGGTAGATGCGGGAGTAAGATACTCGGACTGTGCTTGTTGTTACCAAAGACAAGGAAAGCGAAATATTTAGTAGTGAGTCAGTCAAGTATCTTTCTCTCTTCTCTTCGACGACAAGAGCGCGCAGTAGTTATTTCTCTTCATCGTGATATCATATAAAGTACTGATCTATCAACGGAGTTGGGTACTTCCACTTCTTTGGCTTCCATCGACGGCTATTTCCTTCATCTGGGCTTCCATCGGCAAGTACCGCATCAGAAACTTTCAAAGCAAGTTGCTTTCTCTTGCTACATACATATGTATATTTTATTTCACTGTCTGCGGTGTGCGCTGTTCTCAAGCCGCAAAAGGACTATTAATCTTACGCCAAAACTTTCTTTCGTAAACTTCCAATGCCGACTCCTCAGAGATTGATATCTTTTACGTTTACCATGTAACAGGATAGGAATGTTTGCTTGATTTAAAGGGTTTGCTTTGCGCTAGTCAAGAAGAAACTTTATTTTGGCAGGAGTGACGCTAATTATAGATTACAAGGCTGACGTTTTTGTTGAAGCTTTGTGCTGATTCCTAAAATACATACTTTTTGTCTTGTCTTCACTCTTCAGCATACCCATGCACTTCGCATTCTTATTCAGTCTATTGCATTGGTTAAATAGCGGTTTAAGTTTTCCAACCATACCATCTTTGGACTATCGCAGAATGGTGTTAGTTTCTCCAGTTCCTAGCACACAACCTTCCTAAGATTGATTCTAGAATTTGGAGCCGCTTGCTACAGAGGCGGCTGCATCTCTGTTGAAAGGACGACAAGTCTCCTCGCGGTTTATGCAACACATCAGGTAGGAGATGGGTCGGTTGGCTTATCTGAGTAAGAGCCATCGGCTCACCTCACCAACCCGAAAAATTAACAGGCAGCTACAGTGACAATGGCTTTGACGAGAATCATGGCCAACATTGGTGGCCCTAGCAATACCAGGGGAACTCTACTAGCTGAAGTTAGACTGTAAATATTGATGTATGCGGCTCCCATATAGAGGACAGCATTGCATCAAAAACATATGGTTTTCCGGCTACGCGCCATTAGAGTTGTCTGCGTGCTTGGAGATAATGACTTCGGGCCTTGGAAAGGTCTAACAAAAAACAAAAGCAAGGAGCAGGTGTCTAACGACCGACGAGCACAAGATCGAGAAACAGACTAGTGCTGACGAGTGGTAAACACAATGATATGCGACAGAAAACGCTAGGTAGTCTCATCAAGAACATATCAGCCTGAACTGAGAGGCAACACGGAGAGAAAAACTACCAAACTGACGCAGTTCTTGTCGGGCCATGGCTGTTTCTATAGTTTCGGTCACGATGAGGAGACTGAATATTCCTTTTGCAGCAGAACCGAAGCAGGCGCGGAGTTATAACGTAAAGAGAACTATCTTAGAGCGAACAATAAAAGAAACCTGACGAGGTTGGTTTGAGCAAAAATTATTGATTAAGTTACTATTGCACTTCAAGAGCTCAGAATAAAAGCACGGCAGGGGAGAAGCGGAAAACCAGATGAATAAGGCTACAGGCAGTGATTGTGTGAAGAGGCATTTTGGCTCAGCTTGGCTCTATGAAGTAGTGCTTAACGGCGATCCGACTGGTCCAAAGATATGAGCGGGTTAAGAATTTTAGTGCGTGGGCGTATTGCTTCGCCAATTCGGCATAGTTTCATAATACTACCTGGACGTGTATCCGAGATCAGATGTATCTTTCGCGGCTAATACGAATCGTGCATGGTGATCGCAAAAATTACGGTTTTTTTTTGAAGAAGGGAGGCTCTCAGCTTAAAATCCATTATTCCCTCATATTCATATTTCATACCATCAAACAATTTTGTAAAACAATACCAGATAGCTATCTCACTCTATTTTACAAAGAACCGTTAGGCGAACTAACGGCACATACCATCAACGTGAAATATTGGGACAGCAAAAAAGAAAAGAAAAAAGTAAATTAAAAATGAAGTAAATGAAATGAAGCGTAGGTAAATAGTCGCAGACCTACATATACTCATATGTACGAGGTGTGATCAGAAAGTAAGCGTTATTTTCAATTTTTTAAAAAGCATTTATTTATTCATCTAGATCTGAGGATAATACATCAAGGCCAGCGCTTTTTCAAATCCTCTTTCCTCTTTTATCTCCTCAATCGTTGCAGAACGCTTTCCTTTAATCGGTGTCTACAGTTTTGGGAAGAGGAAAAAGTCAGCGGGAGCCAAGTCCGGCGGTTATGGTGATTGAGGCATGATTACGGTTTTGTTTTTGTCCAAAAGCTCATGCAAAAGCATCGATGCGTGAGCTGGTGCAAAATCCATGTTTGTTTTTTCCACGATTCTGTGCGTTTCCAGTATTCCTTATTGGCCGTACGAGCTTGTGGCAAGAGTTCATCATGCACCACGCCATTCCACTTGAAGAAAGGTTCACTGTTTTGTATCATCGGTTGTTGACGTGCTTGGGCGGCCAGGACGGGCATTGTTATTGATATCTTCTCGGCCTAACTAAATTTGAAATTAGCGGTTACTTTCTGATCACACCTCGTACATACTAACGGTGGAATGGCCGTTATTGCGCTGACTGTCAGTAAACGAGCTTGTCGTTTTATAGTAAAAGTGACATTGATGATTTTGAGATGTCTGCTTGTTGATATACTTACATACATACTTACATAAGCACATACACCTGTATGTATGCAAGGGTCTGCTGATAAATGAAGTTTGACATGATTTTGTGGCCACAATCAAATTGAGTGAATGCTTAGAGTGTGCAGTACATGCACACACACCCACACAAAGACATACAATAGTACATTTGCTTTTGTGTTTGCAGTCAGTTGCCTGCGGGGAGAAGGTACACTTATATGCAAAAAATCTAGTTAAATATAGGGCTATAGACTTCGTGGTTTCAAAGGCGCGGGTGTTGCGGCTTACACACTAGGGATTGCTGCCAGAAGCCGCAGAGAAACGACCAGAAACTTTCATTCATCAGTCCCAAGAGCTGGACTTTAAAACACCTCGGGAACATCGGCGACCTTTAAGCAAACGCAGATCCGGACTCTGGCCAGAGTAACCGTGAATGGGGATGCCGTGATAGCAGCGATCGACACAGGAGCAACGAGGAGTCTTATGAGTAGTGAGATAGCGAGAAGACTGGGAGAAAGAATGAAGCAAGCAAAGGTACGAGTACTGAAAGGTGATGAATGAACGAGAGAAGTAGTAAAAAGTAAAAGTAAAAGCCGAAGAAGCAGCAGAAAAACTAGGATAAGAAGCGCACAATAATGAGTTGCTGGTCTTGCCATAGTTGATCGACGAAGTTGTGAACGGATTGGACTACTCAACGAAGGCAAAAGTAGAATTGCGATGCGGAGGAGAGACAGTATGTCTGCGAGTAGGCAGAGGTACAGTGGATGCTATTATATGCACAACCATGCTAGGAGAAGAAGTCTGAGCTCAGTCATGCCACCATCACACCATATAACAGAGCCGACAGTGGAAAACTTAAAGAGGTTTCAGAAGATGTCAACGGCGTCCAACAACGTTACCCAGAAAGGTGGTTGGGCGAAACGGCAGGCCTACCAAGGAGACATACAGGGGGTTTAATTGGTACAATGTAACCGAAGAGCTCTTGGAACAGTCACAAGTCAAGTTGAATATAGCACGGAAGCGTAAGAAGAAGGTGAAGCGCAGATACAAAGATAATGCGGCGAAAGCGAAATAAATACCAAATAGCTTTTCGGGATACGTGGGCAACGAAGTCAAGCGAAGAAAAGCAAGACCAAGTGTCGAATATCTATCCGAGATTTCGAAAAGCGATACCGAGGCGCACTTACAAGACAACAGCAGCGACGAATGTGTCATTAAGGAGCAACATTGACCCGAACGGGTCTGGTGACGATGAATCTCGTTGCGGCAAGTGAGGGGAGGGCGTAAGGACCCCAAAATCCTGTTTGCTGGAGCCCTTACAATATCCCAAAGAAGTAGAAAACAAGAAGATTGTGAATTCTCGCGAGGCGGTCATTGTTTCTCCCATAATGCCAAGGTTTGAACTTGATAATGAGAAAGGAGCTTTAAGAAAAAATTGTTTTCAATTCATTTTATTTGCATATTGGAAACCGCAAAATGGATATCTCTTCCTTTGCAATCAATTACCTTATATACTTTTTTAAATGTATTTCTTCTATATACTTACCTACGTGGCATTACGGTTTCTTCGGGAAACACATCTATGAAATTCGCGTCACAGTCATTGGGCTTGCTTAATCTAAAATCTATGAATTTCGCTTGTATCTAAGGAAAGGAAAGACATACATACATACATTCATATATATAGGTTAAATAAAGAAATTACGGTAAATTTTCAGTTATCATCTATTTACCCGCCATTTCTCCTCCACTTTTATTTGCCATATACAATCCAATGGCACTCTATTCTTCAATACTGTCTCGCGTATATTGTCGGGCACATCCGTGGAGTTGGCGTAACCCTCGAAGTCACCCTTTTCGATTGTGCAATTTAGATCGGTGCTTGGCGCTGGTTGATTAAAGAGAGCAAACAAATGAAATTAATATAATTTTAATGGTAAAGGAATAATAGATGTGATGGGTGGCTGCTGACAACGACATCATCGTACGACGTTACAGCCTAGTGTTGGTCGGACTACTACACTCTTGTGAACCACACGAGTTTTCTCTATCCCAAATCTAAATGAGAGAAATATTTTTATTGTCGCAAGTATTCCAAGATGGTAGATTCCGTCAGATCCCAAATTAACGAGCCAATCCGAAGGAGCAATAAAAAAATTCATAAAATGTTTTCAATAATTCTTCCGAGATCGCCTCGAGCTCAGCCCGGAGCAACGTTTGCAAAGCGTGTAAATTTATTACCAAAAAAATGGTTGGGCTCACGTGGAACATCGCGCTTTGTGTGCAACACACTGTCAATATTTTCGCCTAGCCGAGTGCATAATGCGGATCCTCAATAATGCTGCATAGTGCGTACCGAAAACGTTATCACTGTTGTAAAGCAGAGCATCGAAGAAGACCCGAATTAGTCCATGGAGCGGTGCCCATATGCTTTATCGAAGATTTTTGGGGAAGGATTTTGGCTTGAGGCTTATAAAAACCGACTCGTGTAAGAGTTGAAGCCGAACGACCATCAAGCGTCTCTCCCTTGCGGTGTACGGGACTTAAATGAGATGGTCAGCGATCCCGATTTTCACAAGAAAGTTTACTTCAGTGAGGAACTTATTGGTGGTTGAGTGGGTACGTTAGTAAACGAAATAGTCTCACTTGGAGTGGTAACCCACAAACTATTGTTAAGACGCCGTTACATCATTAAAAGGTCACTCCCTGTGGTTGTCTTTCTTTCAGGAAAGCTTCCAAGGTCGTTCATATCCAAGAGATTTGATAGACATTGACTAGGTTTGCTTTGGCTGGGTTACACTGGCGGACTTTTGAGCTTTACATAAACCCCGTTGATCATTTGTATTGTCAAGTGAAGATCCAAATTGTTGCGATCCAAAGTAGTCACCGTTTAGGAAGTCAATGCTTTTTGCCAACTCTTATTATCACAATTTTCAAAACATTCTCTAGCCCTTTGAACTGCGAAGCTAAGAGATAACCAAAACGAGTTCTAGCTAAGCTCGGACAGAAGAGAGCAGATGCTTTCCCCTCTTTCTGCTTGTAACACTGCTATTAATTTCCACTCTGCTTGCCTGGTAAGTAGGAGGTGTCTCATTTTTAAACCACCGATCCCATCATACAGACCTCGCACAAAAAATTTTTTACGGTATATTCCCTAACAAGGCTCCGTTTAGGTTGAATTGAGTGCTGGGGTACCAATGAGGATGCTAATAGTGCCCACCATCTAGCCAAAAAATTGTGTGGAGTTACAAAACCAACAATTAGATGTACAATTTCACGTCATAAGGATTTGGGTTTGAACATCAAGAATGCTCGCCAGTCGCAAAGAGAGTAATTTAAGGTTTCATGTCCTTTCTCTTATCTTGAAAACAAGTTTGAGGATAAGCGAAGTGCAATGAAAAGATCCCTAGTTATGAACATGTCATCTATTTTTAACGAGAGTACTACTCGTAATCTATTTCTATCCCATGTCAATGTGGCTTGATCCTGTTGATATTGGAACAGTAAGAGTCTTCCATCTGAAGTTAGCATCTGCAGTGAATAATGACTAGAAGGCTGGGAGCTTCATGCCCATCTATGGCGAACGAGGAATAAAGTGCTCTTTCTTGCAAAATGGTTCTATTCCCTCACAGCTCTGTTAGGTGCAGAGAGAACTGTTTAACCATCTCGTTAAGTGTTTTTATTGTTACAGATTCCAGGAGTCTTAATGGTGCTTCATTATCCCAGAAGTTATAGATACTCAAAATTGAGAGCACCATAAGACCTAAAGAGCCTCATGAACTCCGCCAACTTCGCAAATTGGAAGGCCGTTATAATATCAAGCTCCTTTGAATGGATACCCCACCGTTGCAGCTATTTAGTTTGGCCCGATCTACACGTGCTATTCTGTGTCATTGGTTTCCATCTGGAACAACCACCTGGAAATCTTTCTTGAAGTCAGACACAGTACGTTCTTTCTGATTTCGTAAAAAACTGGTATGACTGTGGTTTTTTCACCAACAAATTTACTTTTAATCTAATTGAAACTCACCTTCTTTACTCCGATCGATGTACTCGTAAACAGCCGTAAAGCCTTCATACTCAATACTCTCATCCGAATGGAAATGCAACCAAAGATAACGTTCCTTCGATGTGATTTCAGGTGGAAAATTTGTACCACAAAATTTCCCAATCAAATCCGAGAACCCATACTGGCCGTTACGTATCTGTAAGTAGAGTACACGAGCATATGAAAAAGGATATCAAAATCAAATATAAAAGTCTACACACATACAGACACTCTTTCACACACACACACACACACACACACACACACACACACACACACACACACACACACACACACACACACACACACACACACACACACACACACACACACACACACACACACACACACACACACACACACACACACACACACACACACACACACACACACACACACACACACACACACACACACACACACACACACACACACACACACACACACACACACTCGCAATAGTTTAACACTTTATTCACGCAAATGAGCCATATAATTGAGTGCTCTTACCTCAAGAACATCAAATTTGCAATCGTCCTTCGCTTCAATGTTGAATGAATTACGAAAATCTAAACGGATTATCTGTCCTGGCGGCGCTGCAGGAGGCAAATAAAAAAAAGAAGAAAAGATGATAAAATAAACGGAAGTAAGAACATATATTCACTTACACACATATCATACATGTATATGTATGTATATGTATATTATAAATACTATATAATAAGATAAAGTGTTACAAAATGTAGCAACCAGAGGCAGTCGTTGGAAGTAAAAAATATTATCAGCACAACACAAATGCTCACGTGTAGATATTCGTAGCGGAGAGACTGAAAAAAGTTCGCTCTGTGGATACTACGGTGCGTTTTAGAATCATATGACAATACGTAAATATGTCCAGTTGTATTTCTCTGCTTTTAAGCCACCATAATTGGCCCCGAACGTTACTTTTCGTTTTAGCATAGCTAACCTTCTCTTGTTGGGAGAAAATTGGCACTTTTTCAACGAGATCAGCAAAAAGAGTTTAGATTAAGCTCGAGCCCTACCAGGTTCTGCTCTAAGTTGGTCACAGCTGTGGAGAATAAAGTATCAAAAACCATAATTTGGCATATCCAAGCATTAGAGGTTATCAAAATTAATGAAAGAACCTCGTCTTTCGACATGGCATAATGCCGGTGTATTACCTCAATACGGAATACACCGATTGGAGCTCAGTAAGTTATTGCTCTCGAAGCTAAAGTTCATCTGTTTTAAAGGTTATCTTGCCGAACGAAAAAAATGGATTCCTGCTGACCCAGATGGTTTTGAGTTCTATTAGAGAGATTTGCGAAAAAGATATCTTTGCTTTTGGAGTTGCTGGTTTTGAGTTCCTCCTAGATTAAAGTCTATGCTAGAATTATATTTGCATTTCACATCGTCTCGAATGAATAGCAGGAACCACATTCAAGTATTGGAAAACAGTCTCTTTATTTTAGTTGAGCCCTACTGCCAAAGGGAGAACTGGCGAATTTAAGTAGGCAATGAAACGCGGCGAATCTTGACTGGTTGCTGCATAGAAACAAGCGACTTGGGCGACCTGCTCTCTCGCAACAGAAATACCAGAGAGAACGTGTGGGTGGATATTAGCAAGAAAGGTTAATAATCTTCAATTTGCCACATTACTGATGAACGTAAGGATAAAATTAGAAATTGTTTGATTGAATGCTGCCAATGGTACATCGGTTGGATATTAATGAGTAATAACAAATGGAAAAAATACCAGGAAAAATATTTGCTCAGTTTGTTTTGAAGACAATAAAAAAACTCTTTATTACACAGTAAACCAGTGAGGCTTTTATTTTAGTTTATTATTTTATTCAAAACTCCATTATCTCCTTATAAGTGTAGCAAGACAGGCTCATACATATACAAACTACGACTCAGTTGCCACTTCTGAATTTACCGACTTTCGTGAAATCTATCGCCAGCTTTTGACTCGATATAAGAAAGCGGAGCTTTTAATTTCAAATTCTCATTTGCTAAGTTGATGGTTATGTTGGCTATGCCGAAACTCCCAAACTTGTGAGATTGGTACCCGAGCCATACCCAATTAATAGACCCATCAAAATTTATACCGTTCGGAACCAGTAGGCCGAGTTAAGTTGATATAGTCATGACTCGTCTATCCGTCTTCTTGTAAGCTAATCACTCCTTCAGTTTTGGTATCTGGATACCGGCTTGAACGGATTACTAATATGTTAACGTCCGCATATACCAATAAATATTGACGTCGAGAATCAGCAAAGATATGGGAATCGTTATTTAAACCTAAAATGAAATACCATAAATTTTATATGGTCATGAAATGTATAATGTCTTCGAGTGAAGTTCGATTGGTTTTTATCTAAGAAGTGGCTTTATTGTCCATAGTACTAGTGTTCCGTGTCGCATACTGTTATAATATACGGCGCTGAAAACGTGCTTATTCGCGCTAAAAGTTTTTCGATTGATTGACTCAGTACGTTGTGAGCGCTTGTCAAAGGTGGACACCAGCAAAGAGAAAATTCGCTAAATTTTAAAATTTTTCTTCAATCGAGGCGAAAAAGCAGCCAAAGCGGCTGAATAAAAAAATTAATTTAGTTTATGGGCCCGATACTGCAAACGAACGTGTAGTTTGCTGGGCTCGATTTCGGTAATTTCGATGTCAAAGATGTACCAGGTTTTGCTATTCGGCCCTCTATTGACAACAACTGGACCGCTTGAAAGCAGCACTCATCCAGAAGAGGCCATCTTTGATCAACAGAGACCGAATTGTGTTCCATCAGGACAACGCCAGGCCACACACGTCTTTGATGACACATCATAAGCTCCAGGTGCTCGCATGGGAGGTCCTAATGCATCCACCTTATAGTCCAGACCTGGCACCAAGTGACAACCATCTTTTCCTGTCCATGGTGAACGTGCTTAATGGTGAGAAGTTAACCTCAAAAGAGGCCTGTGAAAATTGGCTATCCGAGTTTTTTGCCAATAGGGACGCAACCTTCTACGCATATCTGACTTAAATCGGACAAATGTACACAAAGTTATCATATTTTGAAAAATCAATAAAAAACCGAACGAACCTTTTACTTTTAATATAACCGCTAAAGTGGTAAAGACACTCTAAGATTTTGGAAAACGCAATCCTTTTATCTCTTTTGCTCACAGGATACCTTTGGGTCCTAGTAATGATATGCAATTGGTTTTAAATTGGAACAAATATTTCAAAAAGTTGAACTTTTTAATTTGCTGCAGCCGCTCAGAGCGTGCGCTGGGTGCAAAGAGAACTTTAGACGCGTTTTTCTCAAAATCACATTTTTGAAACTGGGAAAATAAATTATTTGAAGCCTATTGCATCGATTTAACTGAAATTTTGTTCGTAGCTTCAAAAATAAATTTCCTTTGGAAGCATGTAACCGTCTTTTGATTAAATGTAAATTTTTTTTAATATTTTAATGCATAGTTTTTAGTCAAAAATCTATCTTAAAAAAAAAATTTGCCGCTTTCACAAAAATAAGTTAAAAAACAAATCCAAATCCAACTTCCATAGACTATGGTTTGTAAATCATAATTTTTTTTGGCTTTACTGTTATAGATCTCATTCTTTAGAAGAAATCGGTCTTCCCGTATTCCATAATCGAACCTTGGTCAGTCCCCCCATCGTATGTATGCTCCCACAAAAGTATGGCGTCATGAATAAAAAATTATATTTGCACATATTTAAACGTGACATGTGTTCATTATGTACGCATCTACATATGTTAGTATATATGTATGTAAGTGCGTTTTAACATTCACGTGTGTGCCCATTCTTTCTATATCACCTTTCCACCTCATCTATGTTGACGCCGTGTTGCGTGCCTTTTGTCAATTACCTTTATATTATACATACATATGTATGTATGTGCGCACCGCCTGCAGGGCGTAAGCGTGTTATGTAAGCGCGTAATTTTTAACATTCCACATGCAACATGCAACATTCAACATTCAACATTTACCATTGACTTTCGACTCACCTGTAATAATGCGTGTACAGTTAATGTTCTTTGGATAATTATTCGGAAAATCGGGACTGTAGAATTCATTTTTCTCCGTGTCGCCCTCAACAAATTGTCGACATTTGTCTACGGGCTCCTCGTCCTTCGCCTCGCGCACCCAACGACGGAGCGACTGCGTTGAATGGTGGGACTGAGAGTGCGACTGGGCGTGGGCTTGTTGCGCGTGGTAGGGGAGTGTCGCATAATTGTGTGTGTTGACGGCAACAGAGGAGGGTTTGTTGCTGTTGTTGTTGTTAACATTCTTCTCCGCCTTTGATGCGGAAAATTTGCGTTGTTGATATTGACGATCCACTTCCATTTCCCCATTTAGTGCCAACGCCACAGCCATTTGCTCATCCGTTTCCGTCGACACCGACGTCGTCGTCGACGTCGTTGACGTCGTTGTAGTCGACAGCTTGAAGTTGTTGAGGTTTTTGCTGTTATTGTTCTTGCTATTGTTGTTATTATATAAAATGTGCTTTGAGTCAAATTGATTGCTTTGTGGCATTGCTGCTGCTGTTGCGCCTTCACTTGTTGTTGCTGTTGTTGTGCGCCTTTTTGTTGACTGTGTTTTTATTGAGTTCTCTCTAGCTGGTGTTGCTGTTGTTGTTGTTGCAATTATTGTCGTTGTATTGCCAGCAATGTCATTATTCCTTTTGCCATTTTTGTAATTTTTGTGATTTTTGTTGTTTTTGCCATTATTGCTGATTGCTATTTGCGTTTGTGACGACATTTTGCTTGCCTTCTTCGTTTCCGTTGTTATTGTTATTGTTGTTGTTGTCGTCGTCGCCGCTTGAGCTGCTTTGCTTTGGTATTCGAGCGTTTCGGTAATCATTGTTGCGGATGCTCTGCTGTTGCTGTTGCTGTTGTTGTTGTCGCTCGTGTCGACGTGGTTTTGTGTTTCACTCTCTGTTCTTCTATTTACGTCAACAACACGTTCTTGTTGTTGCTTTTGTAATGCATACCGCATATTTTGTAATATTTGTTTTAGTTGTTGTTGTTGTTGGTGTTGTTGCTGCTGCTGCTGTTCTCCATTCAGCTGTCTATTATTATGCCAATAATGTTGTTGTTGTTGTGTCTGTTGCTGCTGCTTTTGAACATGTTTTTTGCTTTGTTGCTGCAGCTGTAGTTGTAACGGCAGCAACTCTTGCGTATATATCATCGTACCGTTATTTATGTCGCTGACATTTATATTGGCTCCGTTGTCAGGCGGCATCTTTATTGCCTCATCACCCGCAGCATGGCTGTGTTGCGTGGTGATTGGTGATTGTGGTAATGTTGCTGCTGTTGTTGCTGCTGTTGTTGTTATTCTAAATTTTCTGTTTGCTGCTGTTGTGGTATACTCCACAATTGTGGGCTCTTCTCCTTGTAATGTTATTGTCATCGATTGAGGTGTTGAAACCATATGCTCTTCCTCTATGTCCTGCAGCAACACGTCCTCGTCGGTTGCTTCGCTTCTTCTATCCTCTAAATTCGACGTCGCTTGCTGACTCCATTGCTCCTTGTTGTTTGAATCATAAATGTTTGCTTTGTTGTTGCTGCCGGCAATCAAATTTGAATTGTAGCTGTTAACATTGTTGCTGGCATTTTTGTTGCTATCCGTGTTCTTATTATTGCTGTCGTAATAGGAGTTGTCCTTATCGCCGTTGTTGGCATTGTACCTGTTGGCATCAATAAAACCCATCGCTTCCAGCTCTTTGATTGTTCGTCTCGCACTCGTTTTTATTTTTATAGGATTTGTTTTTGTTGTTGTTGCAGGTGCTGTAGTTGCAGTTTTTCTCGACACCGTTACATTTGCCTCTTTATAGTTGTCAACAAAATGTTGTGCCTGTACATCGGGCGATACTAAAAACGTTCCCGTTTATTGTGTGTGGCCGAGTGTGGGGGAGAGAGAGAAAGAGAAAGAGAAAAAGAAATATAAAGTGAATACAGTTAGTGAGAGTTATTGAGTAAGAAACGTAGTTTTCTTAACAAAATATTTTATATTCTCAAGTCTGTGATATTAAAGAGGCATAAGAAAAAATCCAGAACTCCAAAGATATTTAACTGCGAGATTTGAGGTTTAGGATGAACTGGAAGGCGCTTCCATTAACCACTGCAAGGATAAGTCTCTTCATAAAATAACTGGAATTATTTTCTTTTGGTTTAGCACTTTTGCTCATCTGTAGAAGCTTTCATCTTTCTCTTGAGTGAGTAGCATAATTGGCCAGCTTTGCTTGAAGTGGCTGTTGGGCATCAGCACGATTAGGCCACGATAAGGATTCTATCAGCGGAGCTAGTAAAAGAGAGTAATAGTTGCATTGTTGCACTCGCTATTACGCTCAAGTCTCTAAAGTTTATCGACCTTAGATACTTCAATCTACTTCTCCAAAGTGTGGGGTATTTAAGTTTCAAGTTCTTTGTCGTCTGTAACACGTCCACAGAATTCTCAACCTATCTGCGTGCCTGCCCAATAGAAGTTTTTAGGAAGAAAGACCCACTATTGTACATACTTCATTTCCATTTAGCGAGATAAATTCTCTCGGCCCTCTCTTATTCCTGAGGTCGCACATTTCCTTACTTACATAGCAATAATTGACACTCTTCCATCTTGATTTAGTATAAAGGAAGAAAAACTCTCTTATAATGAGCTTAAAAGTTGAGGGCATCAAGCATCTGTGTGTTGTTTGAGTAGGCGACAAGATGTACTCGTAGATACAATTTCAGAGAATATTATTGAAGGCTGCCAGTTTCACTTGAAAGACACCACAGTGATCTGGTAGCCAAGCGGAAATGCTAGTCTCTATCAGTAAAATCACTTTTTAGTCTTTCTTAAAGACCTGAAAGGTTGTGTAGTAGTTCACCCTTTCTGAAAGACGGAAACTACGTATACTATTGGTATGACCTATGTATGAATGTTATCCTCTGCGCTCTGGAGCATACAGAGGTGATTGATTTCTTCTCGTGTAATGACCAGAAAACCATTACTCAGTAGGGAGATCACATGTAGTCTAAGATTTTTAAGTGAAGAGTATAAACTCCGAGTTTTTGTTTATTCAGTAAATCTTCGATGCGATCGCTTCTTTCTGAAGATTTTTCGTAATCTAGTCTAGGGTATGGATGGGTGGTCGGCTATCTCATTTCATTTTTTTATTCCTGAGAGCTTTCGAGAAAAACTCAAAAATGAAATTATTTTTCTAGCAAGTCTATTTCATCACAGTCTAAAGAGAGAAACTTCTGCAGAACAATTCATTCGGAAAATTTGTATGAAGAGTTTGGTGAGTCGGGATCCTATAATTTGTTTTACAAATTTAGCCGAGAAGAAAATTCTTCTTGATCTTCTTTCAAATCGGCGGCATTTTTTCTTTGAATTTTTTTTTTTCACAAACTGCTAATCGCCAACACATGCCACTTTGGGATCCGCAGGCGTATGGAAACCAGAGCTCTGATGAACTCAAATCGCGTTCAATTCATAGCTCATAATGCCGTCAGTGTGTATGACACAGAAGCGTGGACGATAACGCAAAAATATAAGAATGAACTAAGAGCCTTCGAGCGTTCTATTCTACGCAAGATGTACGATCCTGTGTGCGCAAGAAAAGTGTATTATAGGAGATTGTACCACGAACTGTATGAGTTTTGTAATGCTATGAGTGAAAAGATCGCTTGACTAAGCGTCCAGGAATGAACAATGAATGCCTCCGAAAAAATGGAAATTTCATGTCCAGAAGAACCTGTCTGCTTTTGGCCTGAATAACTAGTGGAACTTTACTAACTATTTCATACCGTCCCCTCTCAGCCTTAGAGCTATAAACGAGCAATCTAGAAGCAGCTCGGGAGACTTTGCTTTGCTCTTATGTATAGAAATTCAATAGTGGAATGAAATCCATTCAGACTTTACAGTCTAACTTGCAGAGCGATCCTTCAGAGGCATGTTTTTGAAATGAGGTAACTGCCTGCATAGAGCTCAAAGCTCTTTATGAGGAATATAATAGTTGATGGCAGAGCTAAAAGTGCTATTTATCTGGCGCCCTAACCAATGTTTGAAAGAAGCTACATTTCTTCTTCGTAATTTCAAATGTTCGGACCTCAAGATGGGCTGGCTTGCTGATTGATATTGGCAATGTGTTGAGCTTATAACCACTAACTGAAGCTGTCAACTATGTGAAAAGCTTAAAGCCATTTGTATGTGGAAGGGCTTCTCATGAGGATTACACCTCCCATAACTTGAAAGCGGTCTGGACAAAATTTAAATCAAAAAACTTTTTGATTTTTGGAAATAACCAACTAGTGGATGTGGCATTCTGCCTCATATAAGATGATCGCACTTAGCGAGGCCCGCGAATTAAGGAACTCCAGAGCCTTAGTCTCTTTTATGGAGATTGTAATATAAAAATCAAATTTATCAATTGAGGAACGTTAAAGTTTGATAACAATTGCAACAGGCAATCTAGAAGACGAATGATTAATATCCACATGTCATTTTAGGGTCAATAAACTTAGATAACCTAACCCAATCTAACCTAACCTCACTTAACTCAACCTCACTTAACCTACCGAAACCTAACTAAACAGGAATTCTACCCAATACATTTTTCTGAGTAAAAACCATATGTATGCACTGGTTGTTTGCCTTAAAGGCAATGAAAAATTGCTGTCATGTAAAAATCTACAATAAAAATGTATAAAAGGCGAAGTAAACAAAAATAAAAATTCACAGGTGTGCAGGCAAACAAGCGTCCAAGTGTGTTCAGTGCCAATTTCCGGTTATTTTTAGAAAACATATTGCACGCAAAGCCTCAGCTCTGTAGCTGCCCAGCTTGTAGCCGGAAGCTCTTTTCTCTCTTGCTCTATTCTATACCAACAACAAAATACATATTCGGTGACAAGTTCCCTTTTATTTGAGGTACACCAATATTTCTATGTTGTATTTGTATGCGCAACGGACACACCTTCGGATTTATTTTTTAAGATTTATTCCCTCCACATAAAATATGTGCGCGTGTGTGTGTGTGTGTATGTGTGTGTGTGGATGATTCAATTTACATCGGTGCTTGTGAGTAAGGAAATAAGGAAATATAAATATTGTTGGCTTCGGATATAATTTGAGTGTAGAGTGTGCAAAAGGTGAAACAGAAAATTGCTAAAGAAAATACATTTATTATTTTACCACTTTTCCTCTGCATTGTCCCTTATGCCTTGAATACCATTGTATAGAAATTTCTAACAAATTCTATTTGAATGGCAATATGAAAGAAATTTAAATCAATAGATATTCATCTGGATCTGGTTTGCTTTTGATGAAAGTTATTTATACAAATACAAGCAATTAAGGCAAATTTTATCACTGAGTTTAGGGAAAATTTTTATGTAAATTTTTTATGAAAGCAAAGCTAATACCTTAAACGTTTTAAAAAGGATAATAGTTTCTATAAAACTCAAATTTTGGCATTAACGTATAATTTAAAAAAAGAAAAACGTATATAAAAATGAAGCAAGCAAAGATGAATAGAGCTGAATCAAAATAAATATAAGAATACAAACCTATATAAAAATTCTGCCAAAAATATAAAAAATAAGCTGAAATCAAGTGAAAAAACGAAAAAATATATAAAGCAAGATAGAAAAATTCAAAATAAAAACAAACAAAAAAACTTAATATCAAATTAAATAAAATAAAAACTTTTATAAATTTAAGTTATTAAAAACAAGGAAGAAAACAAATATAGTAAAAACAAAATAAAATAAAAAATGATTAATATAAATTAAAAAAAAACCTAAAGAAAAAAAAATAACATAATATTAAACAAGTTAAAAAAAATAAAATAAAATAAAAACAAATAAAATAAAATAAAATAAAATAAAATAAAATAAAATAAAATAAAATAAAATAAAATAAAATAAAATAAAGTAAAGTAAAATAAAATGTAACAAAATCAATTAAAAAACAATCAATTAAAATAGGAATAATAAAATCAATAAATAAAAAATAATAAAATAAAATAAAATAAAATAAATAAAGTAAAATAAAATGAAATAAAATATTTGACATCAAATAAACGTCAATTAAATTGAGCAAAATAAATTTATATTAAATGAAAAATTTGATAAATTAATTAAAAAAAAATTAAACAAAAAAAAATATAGTGAATATGTTAAAAGAAATAAGAAAATTAAAAATTAAGTAAAGTAATATAAAATAAAATAAAGTAAAATGAAACAAAATAAAATAATAATGCGCATAGGACCATAAGCTGTTCGCAAAACTATTCTCTCGAAGTCTCTCAAAGCCATTACAAGCGACTTTAAAAGTTTGCTTTTTGATCGTCGGGAGAGGACTTCACTTTTCCATTCCGTGTAGAAAATCGTTGGGCAGTCTGTTGCGCTTGCAGCTTTTCGACATCAAAATTTCCTTGTGTGAGTTGATGGACGTTCTTTGATATACAGAGGCGGGTGCGTATCTTCACTGCGACAAGACAGTAGGCTGAGCAGATATTACGACCTCGGAACGACCCACATTTAAAACACTGCGCCCCGGCAAAGACGATCAGCCTCAACCCATTTGGGTATGCTTCGTTGTGTAGGTTGATTTTTCTGACAGTTGTTCCAAAGGTATCTTTTTTGTCCACACTGGCGTTGTAATCGTTAAACTAAGCTCGATGTGCTCCTTAAATAAGTCCTTGTGAGCATCGTGCCCTTCTTCCAATGGGCCGGGTGTGGCGAATATCTTCCTCCTCATCCGACGGCCCGGGGGTGCAAAACCTGGCTATGGTAAACATTTTTGCTTTGATGCGGATTGTAGCTTGACGTTCATCCTCCCTGGTGAATGCCAATACTCGACCACGGAGTCTCTCTCCCATCACAAATCCAACACCAAATTTGCACTTCTTTATATTGCTGCTATAGTGCATTTTATAAGGAGCAACCTTCTTCCGTACTTCTTCCATGCATCGCACTTCTTGGACGGCGGTGATGTCAGCTTTTATTCTTACGAGGTCATCAACCTGGTGGGCAGCGACACTTTACCGGCTGAGCCCAAATCGTAATCCTTAAAACATATTGCGGGGGTCTTCGTCTAAAAGGTAGGTCTCTCTTCCGAGGCTTATTTCGATTTTTCATTGAGATGAGATTCGCCTTCAAACGGACTGGGTAGAAGGGAGATACTTGGAAGTCGTGAGCTGCTTGAACCATATGCAAAATAATCATTTCTGGCCACTCCCAGGGGAATGGCAGTCAAGAACTTCTTCTCACGTGCGTGAGCTTCTACACATGGTCCTATCCCATTAAATAAATAATAAATAAAGCCAAAGAAAAGAAAGTAAATTAAGATAAAACAAAAAATATAAAGTAAAATTAAAATCGTTAAGAGGGTGTCTAGTATCCTGGAAGAAGACGAATACCACTTGTAAGCACCTGGAATGGACGAAATGAATAATAGGTATGCGGACACATCTCTCCAAGGTAACATTAACAACAGAAATTTAACAATAAATATCTGTCGAAATCATACTAAGCGGAATTTGATTTATTTGCTTATCTCGGGCTCATCATCACGCCCTCACACTAACTTAAATACACCTCAATAAACTAACAGTCCAACTTTATTTATCACTCAAGGAATTGTTCTTCATTACTTTTAATTATTATGACTAACAAAGCAGCAGTTAAGCGGGATATTTAGCAAATCCATTAAGGACGACAACAAATAATAATTACAAAGCAAAATATCTACTATGCATGTGCTTGACTGTAAGTGTAGATAAAGAGACAAAAGATACTTACCAAGAACAATGCCCATAGCGACGACCAAGAAAAGTGTGAACCAGCGACAGCAATAACTGGAACCCTTGTGCTTCATCATTTACTCTCAATTGGGGTTGGCATCACCCACCCACACACGCCACCGCCCAAACAAGCGCCTTTGGGGATTTTGTGTACGGTGCGACTCCGAACTCCGTGAGCTCCTTCCGATGGCAAGGCCAGCCAAACAGCTGTGTGCAGTTGTGTACTGTCACAAAATGTCACAGGCGACTAAGCTTGGGTCGATTGTAGCGGACGCCTAAGTTAGAGTTCGTCGTTCGTCTGATGTGCAGTAGCTATGACAATGATTCCTTTGACAGTGATTTGTTGCTGTTGTTCCACCAATGATGGCAACTTAGCAAGTGACACAAAGGCGCATAAGCTTTCTTACTGGTACCACCGACACTTTGCTGCCGTCACGCTGTTGCTCTAATATCATATATTTTCTTACTTGCCGCTTGCAGCATACGCCCGCTGGCTGACGACTTTGGCGCTTCAAATTCACCAGCTGTTGAGTTCAAATGCAAATTCTATGTGTTTTTTCTTCTTCTTCTTCTTCTTCTTCGTTTCTATATGGGAATGCGATTCGGTGCGGTTGACAATGTGGATGGGGATGATGATGATGTTGTTGCTCTTATAATTGATGTGTACTGTGAATGAGGGGTCCACAAAACTGCTGCAAAATCTCAGCACCAAATCACAGTCTATTGTGCTAGTTTATCATTTGATAAGTTGCATTTGCTGGTGGCTGTCGAGCTTCTACCTACTACTCCCAGCTGCCCTGTTTCTTGCCGCCTACTCCTCACCGCTGGTTGTTAGTTGCTGACGGCTAACTAAATTAGCTCCCTGCTGCTGGCGTAATGATTGAGTTTTTCATGCAATTTATTACACATTTGCCTCCTTGCGCTGCCCACATCCACCTACTTGTTGTTATTGTTGTTGTCGCTCTCACAGCGGCATTGAATGTTCCATTTACATTTGACTGGCCCTCGTACGGACTTGTAGTCCGTTTGTTTTATTTTGCACGCTTCTGCCTCGTTGTCGTCTCGTTTTTATTCTTCTTCTTCTTCTTCTTGTTCGCTCCTTCAACTTATACCTCTTCTTCTTGGTTTTGTTCTAACCACAGTGGGAGGCCGGTAAATGTCTGTTTCTTGTGTTCGTTGGTATAAATTTAATTTAGCACCGATGAGACCACACTTGATGTCTCCACTTTGGTGGTGAGGGGACAAAGAGATAGAGCCGGGTGGCAAGTCCAATAAATTCTTTCACTGTTTCACTGTAGGCTTTGATTAATTTTATTTTTGTTGTCTTTGTACGAAGCTTGGCAATGTTTTTTGCTCTTAAGCTCACTTATTTTTCTGGTTTTTCTCTGCTTCTCTCAACAGCAATATGTCGCTAGGAATGAATGGTATTTGCCCATTTCGTTTATTACTATTTATATATTTATATTACTTCAATCATCCATTCATTCACTCGTTCGTTCACTTATTCATTCATTCATTCACTTATTTCGACACTTAATCATTTATTCATTTATTGTTGGCCTTAACAAGTACCTTCTGCACTCTCCCCTCACTCTCACTCTCACTCTCTCTCTCTCTCTCTCTCTCTCTCTCTCTCTCTCTCTCTCTCTCTAAATGTAAAAAGAACGCCAGTATTATATTCATTTTTTATGGACACTTCAATTGTGTGGCTCTTGACTAATTTACGCATGCCAGTTGAATGAAGATTGGCATTAATAAATTGCTTAAGAAATTCATTGTAGGGACGGGTAATTTTTGTGTATATTATATGTATGTATGTATGTACATGAAGAAGTGGAAATAATAAAGTCGAATGATTGCATTGTAAATATGATCAATAAATTCAATTTGATTTATTGTATATTGACCATTCAAATTTTTTTTATTTCTCTAGTTATTTGTAGCACTAAAGCTTGCTGAAGGATGTGCAGAAGCCTAAATACTTTGGTGGGGGAAACCTCGTAAGACGATATTAAAGACTGACATTGCCGGCATCCAATAAGTACGGAAGAAGGTTGGTCCTTGGTGAAATATGCTACATCGGCCATATAAAGGAGCGCAGATTTGTTGTCGAATTCGTGACGGGAGAGAGACTCCGTTTTGGAGTACTGGCATTCACTACGGTGTATGAACGATAAACAATCCGCATCAAAGTGCAAATTTTCTACATTTTGTTAATTTGCGCGCACGCCTCGACGGAACGGAAAAACGATTTGGTTAAAGATGTTTTCTATGAGTGCTACCCCCGCGACAATGTGAAAATCGTGCCTGGCGATTTTAATGTCAGAGTGGGCAAAGAGGATATCTTTGGTACGACTGTTGGAAAATTCAGCCTTCACAACGAAACGTCCCCTAATGGGCTGAGGCTGATCGACTTCGCCGCGAGCCCGAAATATGGTTGTCTGTGGTATGAGATTCCAGCGAAAGAGAGACATCACGGTACTTTACGCTCCGCTGATCGAAAAACACAAAACCAGATCGATCATGTTGTGATAGACGGAAAACATGTCTCACATGCCGCCGCATCTGTATATCACAGAAAGCCCTTGTCAAACATAAGGAAAGTTCAATGTCGAAAAGCTGCAATCGCAACAGACTGCCGATCGATTTTTTACTCGGCTTGCACACCTGCTTTCTGAGAGCACTCATCAGCAGTCCAGGGAAAACTCTTGTAGGACACAAAATTGCTGTGAAAATGGAATATCCAGAGATGGCAAACCTGAAATCTCAGGCGACTACAATGGAAAACAGTTGAACGTCACCCGACTATGACGGAGTTCGAATAAAGATTGCCCACTTAAAAAACAACAAAGCGGCTGAAGCTGACGTCCTACCGGCAAACCATTCAAACATGGTAGTGAAAGGCTGACAATCTACTCATCTACTCCAACTTCCGTGGGATATGCCTCCTTAATATCGCCTTTAAGGTGCTGTCGAGCGTATTGTGTGAAAGACACAAGCTCACCGTCAACAAACTGATTGGACCTTATCTGTGTGGCTTCAGATCTAGTAAATTAATCTTTGACCAGATATTCAGGATAAGATCGACAGATACCACGTCGATTCTCTCCTCTTCGTCGATTTTAAAGCAGTCTTCGGTAGCATTTGGTCGAATTTGGTATCCCTGCAAAACTTATACGGCTGTGTAAGCTAAAGCTAGACAACGCCAGAAGCGTAATCAGAGTTTGGAAGGGCCTCTCCGAGCCGTTTAGAGAAGGTACAATCTTCTTCAAAAGCTGCTGGTGTATGCCGCTGATATTGACATTATTGGCCTCAACAACCACGCCGTGAGTTTTGCTTTTTTCAGATTGAATAAGGAAACTACCGATTTGGGTCTGTTAGTGAGACATCTCCTGTGATCGAATCGCGTTCGCGACTCGGCCTCCATGTCGCTGTTGACAGTCATAACTTTGAAGTCGTAGATAATTTCGTTTATCTGGGGACCAGCACCAGTAACAAGAGTGCCAGCCTGGAAAATCAATGCAAGTGCATAGACGATGATAACATCCGATGAGTCGGTGTCAGGAGTTTTCGAGAGAAATGTTCTGTGTAAGATATGTGATTCGCTATGAATTGGAAAGGGTGGAATCCGCAGCGGATGGAATGCTGAGTTGTATGAGACATACGCCGATATTAACATAGTTCAACGAATGAAGAAACAACGGCTAAGCTGGCACTGTCACGTAGTCCGGATGGACAACTGTTCCTGCTTTGAAGTTTTTTTATGCAGCACCCGTCGGTGGAAGCAGAGGAAGGGGAAGGAAATTTCATGGAAAAGATCATTCTGAGAAGCTCCTGGCTGAACTTCGTATCTTCAATTGACGCGTAAGCAGTGTCTACGCCAGTAAAGAAGAAGAAGAGTCGGGATATTTTTTCTAAAAACCCTCCCCAAAAAGGAGAAAACAAAAACTCGAAACAATCAAATGTTTACAATAATAGATTCCTAGCTGTTTTCAAATGTTTTTCCAATATTTGCTTTTTTTTGTAATAAAACCCACCAGAAGATCGCTCGTTCTCAATATTTATAAAAAAATGTGATACTTACGCACATACATGCATGTTTTCATATATGTATGTACATATAAGCTTAACGACTTCATTGATAGTTTTCTTAAACTGCAAACTCTCCACCCTCATCAACCGAAAGCATACAGACGGTTCCTGCCAAAATTTTGAAAGTGCATAGGTGAACGCTACTTTCGGTTAAATATAACTTAACCGGAGGACTTACATTACATTATATTTGAGTTCAAAAGACCAAATGAGTTGACTTCCCAACACACAAGCCACATAAGCGACAGTTAAGTGGTGAAGAAAACTTGATTGATGTCATATAACGTGGTTGAAGTTTCTCACGACGGCGTCTATATTGGAAGAAAAATCCGAAGAAGAAGCAAAAGAAGAACAAAAAGAAGCAGTGTAAGAAGAATAAGAATAACATAAGTGAAATGAAGCTCTTGCGTGAAATTTTAATAACAAGAGGTAGTGATTATGTATGCGCTGTATGCACCCTGTAGGGTAAAGCTAAAATAAAATTGTGATTTTTACTGGCGTAACGGAGTATGAAATCACACTACTTATTGGCAAGTTGAAGCAAATGACGATAATCGTGGTTGCAGAATTTTTTTTTCACTTCAGTGTAGCTCAATCAATTACCGACAGGGTATGCACAAACATAAATATACATATGTGTACGTTTATTGCTTAATTAATTCGCGCCAAGTTTTATTTTCTTGTTGTTTCCTACAGAATGGAAGCGAATTCAATTAGAACTTTTACACAATACATATTGATGTATAATAATATGGATAAATTTAATTTTTGGCATATTAAGGAGGAGCCATCAATATGGCCTGGAATTAAAATAAAAGTCAAATGAAAAAGAAAAAAGTTAATATTAATTAACTTATTTAATATTAAATTTTAACTACGCTACCACGAATAAAATAGACAATTACATATATATTTATTTAATTAATTTTTTTTCTGGAGAATTCATTTTACATGAAAAATATTTTATGTTACGCATACGCACTGTTGTTCAAGCGGCAGTATTGAGTTCAAAATTCACTTTATATTTTTAATTAAATTTTTAATTAAAAAAAAAAATTTTTTTTTCTACTCTCTACCTCTCTCTTTGTAGTTATATATTCATAATGAACCTTGTGTTAGTTCGCCGGTGCGTATACGTAACCAAAATAGTCTTACGTGCCGTGGTGAAATCGAACTTTCAATGACTCAGAAATAAGGCGAGTATTTAAAAATTTAAATATAAAACTGTTGGGAAAGCAAACTCATTTAATAGTCCAATTTAAATAAGTTGAAATTATGAAAAGTTTTTAATATATTTTTTTGTACTCCCACTCCTTTTTATGAGTTTTTTAGTGAGCTGGATGCCCTGGTTTGTTTGTATGAATTGAATATTTTTATAATACAACAAAGAAAAATGGTAGAAGTGACAGCTGTTTCGAAGATCATCATATCTCCTCATCAGTTTTCTTAGGGCAGGGATTGAGCCAACGGATCGAAGATCATCACATCTCCTCATCAGTTTTCTTAGGGCAGGGATTGAGCTAACGGATCTTGACTTAACAGGCGAGTGATCTACCACTGCGTTGACATCAGCCGTGTAATCTATTGTTGTATTATTCAGTTTATTATAAGCCAATGGCAGGGCAACGAAAGCTAAGGCCATCTATACCAGCAGCTTCAAACATTTTTCATCATCGACCGAATACTTCTTCTCTTGAAACTCAATTATCTTTGAAATGTGCTCTTCTTCTCTGATATTAAAAGCCATTCAGGCTTTCATTATAATTTTTCGACAACCCTAATTTGTAGTAATAGTACCAGTTATGAGCTGTGTTTAATTTTAATTTGTATTAATTTTCGACTCGAAACCAAAAGCTGTCGATTATACAACAACACGCAACAGCATTTATGCAACCAAAGTGGCAACAATAACAAACAAATAAAGAACAGCGAAGAACATTTCCCACATTAATCACTAATTGGCAATTATGCGGTTATGAGAATGTGCATAAAAGCGCACTTATATTGCCTGGAAATAAGTATGTCTGTAGGTGTGAACTTATGCATATTGATGATTATCCTTGTTGATGATGATGAGTAGTTGCTGAATGTTAACGTAAAAGGGAATATGTGGTGAGATGGGTAAATAATTTTGCAAATTAATTAGAATTAATTATTAGTGGAGTGAGATGAGCTGCCGATGTGACTTAGAAAGGTAGAAGTGTCGTTGAATTTATATATATATAATATAATTATACAATTGGCGCTTTTTAAGCGCTGAAGCGATTTTCGGCTGAGCTCCTACTTTTCCAACAATATAAAGGAACCTACAGCCAGTTT